ACGGGCCAGCTGGTTCCATCTGCAGGCGTCATTCGGGTTTTTACACCGCAGCCTGGTGTAGTGGTGGAAAAGACTGTTGTCGAAGGGCAGGTAGTTAAAAAAGGCGATGTGCTTTACGTGCTCAGCAGCGACCGTATCGGTGTCGGCTCACGCGAAATCCAGATGGACATAGGCGCCAAGGTAGATGAGCGCAAACGCTCGCTTGAAGCGGAAATCGTCCGTAACCGCAGCGTTGAAACCGGCGATGTCAGCCTGCTTGAACGCAGGGTCGGCATACTCCGGGCGGAGGCCGCAGCTTTGCAAAGCCAGCTTGAGCAGCAGCAGATCCGTTTGAAGATTGCGCAGGATGCGCGAAACCGGTACCAGGGGCTTGCAGACCAGGACTACATACCGCGCGAGCAGCTTTACCAGAAAGAGGCCGAGCTCAGCGAGCAGCAGTCAAGAGTGCAGCAGCTACAGCGCGAGGCACTCACCGGGCAGCGTGAACTGGCAACTGCGGTGCGTGAGATAGAGGCGACGCGCATGCGCTTTGCCAACCAGAATTCGCTTCTGCAGCGCAGCATCTCCTCCGCCCAGCAGGAGTTGACCGAAGTTGAGGGCCGTCGCCGCGTGGTGATCACCGCACCTGAGGCGGGCAGGGCAACTTTGGTTGCGGGGGAAGTCGGCCAGGCTGTGGATACCACTCGCCCGCTTGTCAATGTGCTGCCGCAGGACGGCAAACTTGAAGCACGTCTTTATGCGCCCAGCCGCACGATTGGTTTTATACGCAAGGGCGACAAGGTGCTTGTGCGCTATCAGTCCTACCCCTTCCAGAAATTTGGCCAATACGAGGGGGTTGTTGAGTCGGTGTCGAATGCCTCTGTACCTGCAACCGAACAAATTGGTTTTACGCTGCCTGATACACCCGTGGGTGAGCCGGTCTTTTCCATCACGGTCAGGCTGAATCAGCAGAGCGTCAAGGCCTACGGTACCGAGCTGCCCCTTCAGGCTGGCATGCGGCTGGATGCCGACATACTGCAGGAGACGCGGCGCCTCTATGAGTGGATGCTTGAGCCGCTGTACAGCATTTCGGGACGCATGTAATGTTGAAGAAGGACTACCGTGGCCTGGCTTGAATCGCTGTCTTTGGGACTGCGCCGCCGCCTGCCGGTCATCCTGCAGACGGAAGCGGCCGAGTGCGGCCTGGCTTGCCTGGCCATGGTGCTGGGCTACCACGGTGTCATCACTGATCTTGCGACATTGCGCGCGCGCCATGCGATTTCACTCAAGGGCATCACGCTTTCATCGCTTGGCAAACTTGCGCAGGAAGAAAAACTCGGTTTCAGGGCTGTCAGGCTGGACCTGCCAGAACTCGACAAGTTGCGCCTTCCTGCGATCCTGCATTGGGACTTGAACCATTTTGTTGTGCTCAAGGCCGTCTCGGGCAACACCATCACGATTCACGATCCCGATGTCGGTGAGCGCCAGTTCCGCCTTGATGAGGTTTCGCGGCTTTTTACGGGCGTAGCGCTGGAGTTGTGGCCAGACCCCGGTTTTGAGCCGCGCAAGGAAAAAACGGTCATTTCGCTGGGGCAACTGATAGGCCAGGTGTCTGGTTTCCTGCCTTCTCTGGCCCAGTTGCTGACGCTGTCGCTGGTGCTTCAGGTGTTCGTGCTGGTCAACCCGCTGTTCATGCAGCTGATTGTCGACCAGGTTGTGGTGTCCCGTGACACCAATCTGTTGACGACTCTGGCACTGGGTTTTCTTTTGCTGTTGCTGGTACAGCAGGGCATAGGTCTGGTGCGCAGCTGGTTGTTGCTGTCCATCAGCACGTCCATCCGGGTGCAGTGGAAAGCGAACATCTTCAGTCACCTGCTGCGATTGCCGCTTGAGTATTTCCAGAAACGGCATCTGGGTGACATTGTCTCCCGCACCAATTCCATCGATGAGATCCAGCGCGTGCTGACCGGCGCATTCGTGGAAGCCCTGTTTGATGGCCTGATGGTCATCATGACGCTGGGCATGATGTTTCTCTACAACCCCAGCCTGGCCTGGGTGTCGGTTCTTGCCGTGGCGCTTTACCTCGGCCTTCGGCTCGCATGGTTCAAACCGCTTTATCGCGCGACTGAAGAGCAGATCGTGCGCTCGGCCACGCTTTCAACGCATTATCTTGAGACGATTCGCGGCATGCGGACCATCAAGCTTTTTTCACGGCAACTGGTGCGGCGCGGCGCATGGCAGACCCTGCTGGTCAATGAAACCAATGCATCGCTGAAGATCCAGAAGCTGCGCATTTTTTATGGTCTGGCCCGAAGCACGCTGAGCGGTGTTTTTAATATCATTCTGTTGTGGGTCGGCGCTACCCAGATTCTTGCGGGCAACCTCAGCGTTGGCATGCTGGTGGCCTTCCTGGCTTACCGCAGCCAGTTCGATGCACGTTTTACGGGTCTGGTTGACCAGTTTATTGACCTGAAGATGCTTGCCCTCTATGGCGAGCGTCTGGCCGATGTTGTACTGACCCCGGCCGAGGTCAACACGCGCCGCACCCTGACAACGCAGGCTGCATCACAAGCCCCTGAAATACGCATCGAAAATCTGCGCTTTCGTTACGCAGAGCAGGACCCGTGGT